ACTGCAGTAACGGTTTTGATAAAGGGGAGGGGACAGAAGATGTTCTCTGTCTCCTTTGTGCCCAGGAGTGAGCTAAAAAGTCTGCTCAGGCCCCAGGGAGTCACAATTTGGAGAAATAGTGTGTTTGCTTTGGCGATGCTTCTAGAAAGGCAGGTTTAAGAAAAGATCCACTGACAACAGCAACAACAATAAACTCACCCTGTTCTCCTTCAGCCCGTAGGGCTTATGGCTGGGTCTGAGCCCTAGTACCTACCCCATCTCCACCATTGGTGGTACTCAGATCTGTAAGCCATTGAAAGTGTCTGGATCTCAGTCATGAGCAGATATCAAGATATTTTCCCACAGGACATTGTAGACACCATGATGATCTAAGTCTGCACACAGCTGTCATTGATGTGAGGTATCATAGGGCCTCCTAATGCACTGAGTGTTGCTGGAATCCCTGCTTACAGGGTATGACAAAAAGCACGGTGAGGGAAGATGGACTTATTTCATCTTACAGTACAAGGGGCCACAATCTGTCATGGAAGGGACAGCATGGCTGCAGGAGCTTGAGACAGCCGGCCACATGGCATCTATTGTCAGGATGCAGAAAGATGGATACAGAAATCCAATTCATTTTCTCCCAGAACCCCAGCCCATGGGATGGTGCTGTTCACATTTAGGGTGGGTCTTCCCACCTCCATGGAGTTTATCTAAGAACTCTTCCATAGATATGCACGGAGTTTTGTTCTAGGTTATTCTAGATGGTGTCAGCTTGACAATCAATGTCAACCACACTCAGTGGTGTGGAAAGCAGCAACTCGGTGGGAGGAAGCACTTGAGGAGGCCTGGCCTCTAACACCTGGAGGAGAGGAAACAGCTGCACATGCCGCATTTGGAATGGAAAAGGAGTGTCTGTACTACAGAGCTTGAATATAGCTTGGGCTCCAAAAGTGAGATCAGGAAGTGGCCAGGATGCTGGCCCTGGGTTGTGTGATGGGTAAGATGGAGTGGTGTTCTCTGCATGGGATGACTCAGCCCTCTTCTGGTGCTGAAATACTTCTAAGGCCTTCCAGAATCCCTGCAGACATCTCCTAAGTCCCAGTCAGAGCAATTTTTCTTATGCTCGTGGCTTTGTATTCGTTTGCAAAGCCCAGAATATCAAAATGTCACAGGCTGGGTGACTTGAGCAACAGAAATTTATTGTTCCATGGAGCTGGAAACTCATCGAGGTAGGGCACTCTCCACATCCTTCATCTGTTTCTCTTTGAGGGTGGAAATCATGCACCTCCCATTCTCCTTTGGAGCCATGTAGAGGGCAGCTGTGGACATGGGCTTCACATGCCTGCCTCACTTTGGAAGCACACTGATTCCTCGTGTGCAGCTAGGCTTAGGTGTGTCCCTTTACAGGGGTGGAGACGCTCGTGTGTGTGTGTGTGTGTGTGTGTGTGTGTGTGTGTGTGTGTGCGTGCGAGAGAGAGAGAGAGAGAGAGAGAGAGAGAGAGAGAGAGAGATTTTGTTGCATTTCAGAAGGGGGCTATTTAGCAGAACCTTCTGGAGCCAAGAAGGACTGTGGCTGCATCAGGCCTCAACCTGCACTGACTGGCACTGTTCTCATCTATGCTCTCCCAGCAAGACATTTTGCCTGGATGAGTGGCTCAGAAACCAGAGGTGGTGTGCAATGTGAGCCCAACAGTTCTGGAAAATCAATCCGATGCATCTTTGTGGAGGGAAGGGGAAGCATAAAATAAGAGCTGTCTTGGTGGAGTCAGCTGGTTTCTTTATGCGGCTGTCTGGGAGGGGAATGACCTTTGAGGCTTCTATGCCCCAGACCCGGCCCCCGATGCACTTTCTGACTTTCTCTAATTGACTCCTGGAAGCTGTTTGCCACTCAGAGATGTCAGAAGGGCCACTTTCAGCTTCCTGAGCCACGTAGGGAACAGCTAACTTTGGGTGGCCGCAAGCCCCTACCTTCCATTGGCACTTTCCAGAAAGCAAGTTCAGGCCTGTGGAGAACCTGTCTGCTGATCTCATGCATGACTGAGTTTCTGGGCCATTCTGACCAACTGGAATACTGCTGGCCTCCTCATCAATAGGAGCTTGACTGCATATACCGCCCCCTGACCCTTGCAACTACCACCGTTCCTGCAGTATTTTGTGCATGGTCCTGCCAGGCCTGTGGCCAGGTAATTATCTCCAGATGACATCTTCCATCTTCCTTGTCAAAATCCTGCCTACCTGTCAAGGCTCAGCCCCACCCCCACAATTTTGCACTTAATGGCCACCCTCATTGCTGAATATCTTGAAACATCTGTTGTATTGTCGTGGTAGTGAAGTTAAAATGTATTTATACGACCCTCAGATGTATATTGGAATATATTTTATCATCTACAATCAAATTTTCCTTCTGAGTATGTACTCCCTGGGCATCAATAATGACAGGTGGTTGCATAGGTTGGAAACACTTACTTAGTTCAATGTAATAAACCAATAGACTCCTTTGGGAAATGCTTAATTTCCTAAGGACAAACACCATTACTCTCAGAGTGTGCTACCATACCTCCTCTTCCTCCAGATGTTGGTATAAAACTGGGGCCTGTTGGAGATGTCAGCACCTACTATCAGGCAATGCAGTGTCTTGCTCTGGCTATTCTCACCAGATTCCTCTCATCAAATGGTCCTGCTTCTAGCTTCATTGCTGTTTGCAGATTCCTATAGACACAGCTGCTGCTACAGTGCAGAGAGCCAGCACCTGCATCTTTCCCCACATTTCTCCCCAGGGTATATGCAAATGCCTGGATGCAGTCAAAAGGTTCAGAGGCCAGAACAGCTTGGAGAAGACACAAGTGGTAGTTTAAATGACACAGACTCAGGTATTTAAAGACTTAGCCCCCAGTTAGTGATGCTGTTTGGGAAGGTTATGGTACGTTTAGGGTGGGCTTTGAGAGTTTATAGCCTCTCTTCCAATTTGCTCTCTGTGCTTCCGGTGTAAGGATGGAGATGTGATATCCCAGGTTCCTGCTGAGGCTGCTTGGGCTACCCTGCTGTTGTGGATTCTTACTCTGGAACTCCATACAACAAAGAACCACCCAGCCCAAATATCAATAGCAACAATGTATGGTTCAAGGACTCAGGTTTCCAATTGCTGGCACTGTTTGGTGAGGTGGTGTGGCATTGCTGGAGGAGGTATGTGACTGGGGATGAGCCTTGAGAAGTCATGTTTATATTGAAGATGTGATCTCCCAGTGGCCACACCTATCACTTATTGGCTTACCTTTTTGCCATGATGGATTCTTACCCTCTGGAACTGGGAGTCAAGATAAATCTTTTCTTCTGTAAATTGCTTTTGGCCATGGTGTTCTATCACAGCAACAGAAAAGTAACTAATGAAGACAAGATTGAAAAACTGCTCCTATGGCTATCTGGAAGGAGTGTGCCCCACTGAGCCATGTAACTGTGAGTTGTCCACAGCCTAAGGTCCCAGCAGATAGGGAATGGGTATGTTCCCCCTCAACAGAGGCTCTGTGCAGAGCTGAGTGCCTGTGTGGCTCCTCATATTTCTCCTAACAGCACTAATAACCAGCCATGCTCACAGCACTTTCCTGTGGGCTACACACACACACACACACACACACACACACAATCTCTTTTAAGCCTTGAGAGATGACCAAGAGTTTTTTTTTTTTTCTTCTCATCATTTTATAGCACAGGAATATGAAGCCTAAGGAAGGTTAATCCCAATATAACTGAGTAAGTTACAGGACCAGAACTATTAGACCCCAAAGTCTGATTCTTTTGCAAATGGCTCAGATCATTTTTGCTCAAAGAGAGCAATGCACACAGGAGAAAGGGGATTAACTGGAGTCTTAACCTAGAATTCAAGAGAAGACTCATTTCAGAGCAGGAGCCCCAACAGTGTGAGGTTGGGCAAACATCATCAGGGCCGGATATAGGTTTAGGATTCCTGGAAGGAAGCTTCCTGCCACCACCACATTCACAGCTGCCAATCTGGGTTTCCAGGACAACCCCTTCCCTGTAGAGGGTTGTTTTGTGTGTTGGGGATGGGAAGACTTCTAAAGAGAACAAGTAGACCATAGCATTTTGTATAATGACCACAGTGACAATGAAAAAGAAAAGAAGCCAACTTCCTGGTAGTCAACTGTAGAAAAATAATTTTATTTACTACTGTAAATAAAGTAGTGCAAAGAGTAGTTTGAACCCACAGTATTGCATTACTGATTTATTTACTACTGTAGCAGCATACAGTACACAGACACTCTGTTCTTCCTTGCCCTTTTACACACTACACACACACACACACACACACACACACACACATCTACCTACACAGACACAGGCACGGGGGGAAAGGGGGGGGGAGAAACTCT